CATGGAGTAAGATCTATGGTTATTACTGAGAATTAAGGATTTGATTATTGTTTTGATCGATAATCCTATTATGTTTTTCTATTACCACCACCCACCACCATCGATGTTGTCGCTCCACCACTATCAAGTCCATCATTATCACATAAATTTATTCCCCAAATGACCAAAGTGATCTCCATTACCATTTAATTCAATTCCACCTATTTCCCATGTAGAATCAAAGATCTAAAATTGTTTTTGTTGTTCTGTAGAACACCACACCACATGCCAAACTCGTATTGAAAACTCGTCCGTGATTGAGAATCGATTACGTTTTAAAAATTAAAAAATTTGTGTAGATTTGTTACATTTAGCGAAGATTCGACACAAAAAGTGAAAATTTTCCATTATAATATAATCACCAACCAAACATGCACTTCTAGTTATATAATAATTTATATTCCATTATAAGTCAATTTTGTGTTTGTACCAACCTTTTGGCTATGAAATATTCAAGCAGAACCCAAGGATCAAAATCCAAATCAAACATTAAGAAAAGGCAAAAAAAAAAAAATATAGAAGAAGAAGGGAGTATTCATTAATTAATTCAAATATATAGGAGACTACAGAGACAAAAGCAGAGAAGGTTATAACTTATAGCATACACACCAAAGCAGCCACTTTATTACAAGGAGCATAATTAATTCATCATCCATACTGGATATGACTAATTTGCCCCTATTAACACACACACACACGCAACAAACTATTAAACTAAAACGTTCTTCTCTGTCTCTGCATCAAATTCCCTCATTTGCAATTGCATGGATTGCACTTGCAATCAGCACCACACTTGCACCCATTCTCTGCACCCATCTCCGACTCAGATCCCTCAAAGTATCTGAAATATACAACCCAATAAACAGTAATTTTAGACTCTTTTTTCAGTTATTAAAAGATAAAATCATGTAAATTGATGCATACATCTTCTGAGGAGCAACACCGAGAATGAGAGTCTCAGTGGTGGCGGCGCCGGTGGCCTCTGAGTAGCTCAAACCAGGGTACATACCGCATCTTCACCCAATAGATAAAAATCTGGTTAGGACATGAACTATACATCGACTGCATCAAAATAATGATATAGAAACCCCTTACCCATTACAGCCACTGCCGCAACCACAGCTAGAGCCACAGCCACAATTTCCTCCGCAGCAAGACATATTCGATGATTTCAAGAAAAATTGACTGAGGATAAGAAGATTTGGATGTAGTGTGATTTCTATGGGTACGCCCATGACCCGTATTTATAATCCGTGGAGGAGAAAGAGGGTGGATATCGACCGTCCACGCTCCAAGATGGGTGGTCCCACCTTGTCTTTTTCTTTCAATAAAGCTATTTGTACAAAGTTAAGTTACAAAAGTGGGGTTACAAAGTGTGTTGGCAAAATCGAGACCATTGATTTCAAATGATTTAAATTTTTTTTTAAAAAATGATTGGTGTAGATGTTGTCAACCAACTTTGTAATCCAACTTTGTACATGTTGCATAGCTCTTTTTCTTTTGTTCTAATCTCTATCCTGTTTTTTTATATAATCGTGGATGTTCGAACCAATTTGCGAGCATTTCGACTAATTCCACGGGGCCCTGAAATTTACGGTCGATGGTATTCACCTCAATGGTTTTGAGGGGACTTGAACTGGTGACCTTGGGGAGCAAATCCAATGTCTGACCAATTGAGCAACCCCTCAAGATTATCTCTATCCTGTTTGAGTTTGCAAAAGTCAAATCATGATAATTTTGAAATTTTTTTTTTTTGATATGGATAATTTTGAAAATTTTAACTTACTTATAAGTAATTACTTTTGTCTTAAAGTCGTACAATTGATAGTGCTGCATCATTATGATATTTGAATTAAAAAAAAGACGAAGAAGCAGCAGTTGCTGCTTGAATGGTAGGTTTTAGTGCCAGATTTGACACTAGTGAATATAATAAAAGTTTTGCCAATTTCCTGTAACTATACAGGATAGACACATGAGGGAGTGGGTGGGTAGACCCACCAACACGTGAGTAAAATTCAAAATTCTGTAGGAATTTTCTGTACTCACATTATTTATCATATAATAATATCAAGAATGCATATCTATGAAAAGATTTTAAGAATTGAACTATAATAAAAATAAATCAAGTATTATTCTCGTTAAATTTGAATTCGATTACATTTATTTTTTGTAATTTTATTTAGTTGATTTTTATATCTGCTAGAAGATATAATGCACGTAGGTTTTTATCAACCATAAAATATTGTGTACATAATTTCTCTGCTAACTATTTCCATTAGTTGGAGTAGAAAATAACTAAGAAAATAAGGGAGTGGTGGTTATTAAGTTGAAGGACTAAAAAATTACATTTGAAAGTTTAGGGACCTTCAATGCGCATGGTGTATCTTAGTTCAAGGACCAACCAGTTTTTAGACGGTCAAATAGACGAAATTAAGTTGGAGGACTAAAAAAGTGCATTTTACAATTTAGTGACGTTCTTTCGAACTAGAGCTTTTTAGATCGTCTTGCTCTTAATGAATCGATGTGATCTCAACATATTGATATATTTTTATTTTTATTTTATTCCTTCTAGTATTATTACATTTGTCTTGACATCATCGTTCCTACCATATTAATCGTATTGGCATTCTACATCATAATCATAAAGTTACGATGTGCGTGGTGAAGAAAATGAAGGTTACAAGTTGTAGTCTAACACTTAGATTAAATCGAACTTTTGTTTCCTAATCTAATTCTTGTTCATATCCTTGAATACTTTTTGAGGAGGAAAAACTAGCCATTCTTTCAAGAAAGTTGATAAATGCGAGATATCATGGGATTCTTCGAGCACTCAACTACAAAGATTGGTCTCCGCTTTTCAAATCTTATTCCACTAGACTCTCTTTCTTCTTTTCCTCTAAAAAAAAAATTCACCAAAATGTATTATTTATTAAATGAGAAAGAAATTACAAATTTAAAAGGACGTACAACTTGAACTCCAATAAACAAAAGTACAGCGCAAACAAATTAAGCAGTACGAGAAACTAATTATATAACACCACGAATATGTTGTGAACCCTATGAAAAATGCGATTAAAATTAATGTTTCACTTTGTAAAGTAAAATTTAAGAAGAAGAGAAGAAGAAGAAGGGAAAAAAAAAAAAAAGAATCCCTCTTCTAGGCTCCACATGGGGTGTTGATTGCCAAGGACTTACAGTAATCTCTTTTTGAAGCCAATTGAAGAGACATCAGCCTATAGAAGAGAGAAGAATTGCTTTCAGAACCCCACATTTATAAAGTGGGGGTGGGGTATGAATAAACTTGTTCCATTTGAAGTGGATGGATGTGGAATCACTTTTTATGTGGTCAATAAGTAAAATCAGTTTGTACCTCTTTTAATTCATTATTTGATTCCAAAATTAGTGGAAAAAAATACGCCCACCGTGGGGCTCGAACCCACGACCACAAGGTTAAGAGCCTTGCGCTCTACCGACTGAGCTAGACGGGCTTTTTGACAATTTGATTGACACGATTTAATAAGTTCTTTCCATTTTCGTCATAAACACAGTTAAAATTCTCGTTTCCAATTATACCTAAAGTTTTATGTCTCGTATCCTCTTTGTTGCAAATACAATTAATGTTCATCAACCGTCCACATGACACTTTTTAGAGTGAAAAAGTTGTCATGATCCATTAAATTTTTGCCCATGTTCATGTTTAATTTAGCTAAATATTAGATTTTTAGTAAATTTTATAAAAATTGATTATACGTGTGATTAAAAAATTGTGAATTCCAAAAAATATAATTTTAAATTAAATTTTTACTTTTTTTTTATCTAAACCAAACAAGACTTAATACCGTAAGCATTGTCAAAAAGGAGAATTCCTCACAACACAACCAGGATGTTACATCCAAGGTTCTATGAAAACATTCTAAATCCAATAAATTTTCTTCTTTCTCCATTATTGCTTATAATCATATCCATTGCCAAATATACAATATGAGCAGATTTTGTCACCTCGATTTTGACACCTCAAAGGGTGTCAAACTAACTTAATTCTATTTCCAAACTCCGTTTCCTCATTTTTAAATACTTGAATGAATGTTTACTCACAATATGATAATTTAAGGACAAAGTTTGCATGCGAGTTATGAGACGAAAGAATGGACATGACGAATTCATTCGAAGATGAGCTCATCAAGAAGATCATCAAATATTAGATAATCAATTTCAAGCCCCACAAACTCAGCATCAAATTGGAGGTTCATCCAACCATCAACTTTTTCTAAATCCCGGCTCACAGCATCATCATCAAGCGTCAGGAAAATTTCGGGTTTCCAGCTCAAGTACCAACTTATGTCAGCCCAAACCTCCTCCAGAACATGGTAACCAAAGGGCATTCGATGGATATGAAACTGGCAAGTTAATGGCTTTTGCCAGTAGGAAAATGATCTCTTGTATATATCTAATAGGACCTCATTAATTAAATCAAACAAAAGTAGATTAGCACAGCAACCACCTTCTTCATTTCCAGAACTGTCTGGTTGAGCAATCAAACACCCTTCAACTTCCTCGAACACTGAAGGGTCTACAGGCTGATGGGCAGAATGCCATTTTCTGAGGATCTCATTCCCACAGAAGCCAGATAGTTCTAGAACATCTCTTACATTATTGAATTCAGATTTATTTTTTACATCCTCCTGAGCATGTAACAGTTTGCCATAAAACTCCTTGACTCTGCTTTCTACATGGTTAGTGTCAACTGTATTCTCTTGTATAGTAGAGGTATCTGAGTTCTGCCCATGCAGCTGAATAGCCAAAGAATCTGATAGACCCAAAGTAAACGTGACATACCAAAGGCGGAAGAAAGGAGCAAGGGCAGTCAGGGAATTTGATAGAGAGTAGCACATGCACATTGGCAGAGTTAGTTGAGAAGAAAATCAGAATAAATAGGCGTGTCCAGGAGATCAAAAGTATCCGGAAATTAGTAGTCCATTAGGAGAGTATTGGCCTCTCGAATGCCAAATATCTGTAATTCCTTTCTTGTTAAGTTTCAGTTATTTTCCTTGAACTGTGGTGCTCGTGTTAATCAAATACAGTGAAATTCTTTTATCCTTTTCATTCTGATTTGGTTATTCATCTGTGGGAGCTGTAATTGTCCAGGTTCTTATCATTGGTATCAGAGCATTCAATCCTGATGGTGAATGTATCAGATCGCGTAGGGAATCTAGAAGGGGCTCAACAGAAATTACAGGACCAACTGGAAGGGATGCAAAAAGGCATTGAAAAGATGCAAGTTGAGATGCAAAGGGTACAAAACATGGATAAAAATATGGCAATTATCTCCGAACAATTCGTTTTCATGAGATCGAAGTGGGAAGAAGGAGACAGAGGAAAAACGGGTAAGGGCCAAGACGGGAGAAAAGACTCCGAGTACACTGTGAACTCCGAGATTTCACCTGGCCATGAGATGAGTAGTCGAGAGGGAGGAGGTGCTACCGGCGGAAATTGGAGACCGGAATTGAGAGGGAGGAGGTTAGAGATGCCGCTATTCACGGGGAAAAATCCAGACGAGTGGATCTTTAGGGCCGAACGCTATTTCCTTGTGAATCAATTAACGGAAGGCGAGAAATTAGAAACGGCTGCCTTGTGTTTTGAAGAAGGGGCTTTATCCTGGTATCAATGGGAGTAGAAGAGGAAGGGAATGCACAGCTGGGAGGAACTCAAGCTATTGATGAGGGCACGATTTCGATCGTCCTTGGAGGGAACCATGGAAGAGCGGTTTCTAGCTCTCCGGCAACAAGGATCGGTGATGGAGTATAGGGTCGCCTTTGAGACCTTGGCAGCCCCAATCGGAAACATTTCTGAGGCTATTTTAGAAGGCCATTTCATAAATGGGCTGAGCCCAGAAATTAGGGCCGAAATTCGTGTAATACAGCCCAAAGGTTTGGACCGAACTATGGAATTAGCTCAACGAATTGAGGAAAGGAATCAGGCCCTACAGGCCTATGTTACTGGATCAGGCCCAACCAGAAGTAAAATTCCATCCAGCTCCAACAATTATTCCCCTTTCGCACGGCATACAACACTCACTGTCCCAAATCCCAGCCCTAAAATTCAGAACTCTCGCACATCAGCAGCTGACGGAACTACCAACCCGTTCTTTAAGAGATTGAGCGAAGCTGAGCTAAGAACAAAGAAGGAGAAGGGCCTGTGTTTCCGTTGTGATGAAAAATATTCAATCGGGCACAAATGCAGAAATAAGGAATTGTAAGTATTGTTGATCTATGATGAAGAGCGGCAGGAACAGTGGGACACTGGGGAATTAGTGGACGAAATAACCGAAAAGGAGGAGTCGAGTGCTGGTGAGATGGTAGAGTTATCTATGAACTCGGTGGTAGGGTTCACTCCACCTCAAACCATGAAAGTAAAGGGAAAAATTCTGGGGAAGGACGTTGTGGTGTTGATCGATTGTGGGGCCAGTCATAACTTTGTGTCGGTCGACCTTGTGCAAAAACTGGGATTGCAGAGGACGGACACACTTGGGTACGGGGTGATTATGGGGACTGGATTGGCGGTGCAAGGAGCCGGGGTGTGCAAGGGAGTGCGGTTATCTCTTCAAAACGTGGAGGTATTAGAAGATTTCCTTCCACTGGACTTAGGCAGCTCAGATGTGATTCTGGGAATGAAGTGGTTGTCCACGTTGGGCCCAACAAAAGTGGACTGGAAGGCACTCACGATGAAATTTCAGATTGGGGACACGGCTATCACATTGCAGGGGGATCCAAGTCTTAGCAAGACTATGGTTACTTTGAAGGCAATGGTGAAAGCTTTTAGAGACAGCGGGGAGGGGGTACTTCTAGAACTTGGAAGTTTGGGAATAGAGTTTGAGAAAGCCCAAGAAGAAATACCCTCAGTGATCACCGAGGTTTTAAGTGAATTCGGGGAGGTGTTTGCAGAGCCTGTAGGATTGCCCTCGCACCGAGACAAGGATCACGCCATCCATTTGCATCCCGGAACAGTGCCTATCAGTGTAAGGCCATACCGGTACCCACACTGTCAAAAAAATGAGATAGAGAAGTTGGTCAGGGAGATGTTAGCATCAGGGATCATCAGGCCCAGTTCCAGCCCTTTCTCTAGTCCAGTCTTATTAGTGAAGAAGAAAGATGGAGGGTGGCGATTTTGTGTTGACTACAGAGCAGTAAACAAGGTAACGGTACCTGATAAATTTCCCATTCCAATGATTGATGAACTACTAGATGAATTGCATGGAGCGACCATCTTTTCTAAATTGGATTTAAAGGCAGGATATCATCAAATTCGGGTCAAATCTGAAGATATTCCCAAAACGGCTTTTAGAACACACGATGGACATTATGAATTCTTGGTGATGCCCTTCGGGCTTACTAACGCTCCTGCCACATTTCAATCACTTATGGATGGGGTGTTTAAAGAGCAACTACGACGATTTGTATTAGTATTCTTTGACGATATCTTGATATTCAGTCGGAGTATGGAAGAACATGTGAAGCATCTGAGGGAAGTCTTGCAGTTGCTTACATACCATCAGTTGTATGCCAATCGCAAGAAGTGTAGCTTCGGTCAACCGGAAGTTGAATACTTGGGTCATTGTATTTCAGACAGAGGCGTCGCTGCAGACCAGACAAAAATACAGGTCATGATTGACTGGCCTAGCCCGAGTTCCTTGCGTGAGCTGAGGGGATTTTTGGGGCTTACGGGGTACTACCGTCGCTTTGTGAAGAATTATAGGAAATTGGCATGGCCTTTGACAGAGCGATTACGTAAGGGTAATTTTTTCTGGGATGAAGAAGCGGAGCAGGCATTCAGACATCTTAAAACAGCCATGACCACAGTGCCAGTACTGGCCCTTCCTGACTTCACTCGTCCCTTCATAGTAGAGACCGATGCTTCGGGATTTGGATTGGGGGCGGTGTTAATGCAAGACCAACATCCAATTGCCTGCTTTAGTCGTGCGCTCAATTCGACAGGGAAAACCAAATCAGCTTATGAAAGGGAATTGATGGCAATTGTCTTTGCAGTACAAAAATGGCGACATTACTTGCTGGGCAACAAATTTTTGGTAAGAACAGATCAGAAAAGTTTGAAATTCTTACTGGAGCAGAGGGAAGTAAACCCAGATCATCAGAAGTGGTTACTAAAACTATTGGGGTATCAGTTCGAAGTGCAGTACCGTCCAGGAAGTGAAAACAAGGCTGCTGATTCTTTATCCAGAATCAGTTCTTCCGTCGAATTAATGGCAATCTCAGTTCCTGCCGTGTTGCAGCTGGATACATTAGCTGATGAGGTCCACATGAACTCACAGCTACAAGCTATTATTAAGGAGATCAGACAGGATCCCCAGAGTAGGCCCGATCATACCATGGTGAATGGTCAACTGTTGTTCAAAGGACGATTACTTCTACCGAAGGGTTCGTCATTGATTCCATTGATGTTACAGGAAGGACACAACAGTACCGTGGGGGGACACTCAGGTTTTTTGAAAACTTACAGACGCATCTCCACCAATGTCTACTGGGAAGGAATGAAGGCGGATATTCAGAGATATGTGAGCCAATGCGCAGTTTGCCAGCAGAACAAGTATATGGCACTATCTCCAGGGGGCTTACTGCAGCCCCTTCCTATTCCAAATCAAGTTTGGGAGGACGTCGCAATGGATTTCATCGAAGGCCTACCGAAATCGGGAACTGTGGACACCATTTTGGTCGTTGTCGATCGGTTAAGCAAGTATGGACATTTCATCGGACTTAAACACCCGTTCACAGCGGCAAGTGTGGCTGGAATTTTTGTGAAAGAAGTGGTGCGACTACATGGGGTACCTCGTTCCATAGTATCGGACAGGGATAAGGTGTTTGTAAGCCATTTTTGGGAAGAATTGTTTCGCGTACAAGGAACCAAGCTCAATCGCAGTACGGCCTATCATCCCCAAACCGACGGGCAGACAGAAGTCCTGAATCGTACCCTAGAAACGTATCTACGTTGTTTCGCCTCTGCACGGCCTAAATCATGGTTTGTCTGGCTGCCTTGGGCCGAGTTGTGGTATAACACTTCCTTCCACACAGCTAGCAAGACTACTCCATTTCGGATTGTTTATGGAAGAAACCCCCCGGATCTGCTGAGGTTTGAAAGAGGATCCACCCCAGTTTCGGCAATCGAGCAACAATTGCTAGAGAGGGATCGGATTTTGGATGAATTGAAAGCACAGCTACTGCGAACTCAGACCAAGATGAAAAGCATAGCTGATTCTAAAAGGAGGAACGTAGAATTTGCAGTGGGAGATCTGGTGTACTTAAAGATCAGACCTTATCGCCGTAAATCGTTAGCGGCGCGACCTAATGAGAAACTTGCACCGTGGTTTTACGGTCCATATGCCGTGGGACAGAGAGTAGGACAGGTTGCCTATAAGCTAATTCTTCCTACAACATGTAACATTAATCCTGTCTTTCATGTATCTCAATTAAGAAAGGCAGATGGGGCAGTGTAGGCCGTGAAGGAAGTGGCCAAGCAGTTGAGTGAGAATTTGGAAATGTTAGTAGAGCCAGGTGCGTTACTGGGTGTGCGACCAGGTTTGGGAGACAACATTCGAGGCTTGGACGTGTTAATACAATGGAGAGGCTTGCCACCGCTTGAAGCCACCTGGGAGTCCTATGACATGATAAGGCAACAGTTTCCTTCTTTCCACCTTGAGGACAAGGTGGGTCTCATGGGGGGAAGTACTGATAGACCCAAAGTAAACGTGACATACCAAAGGCGGAAGAAAGGAGCAAGGGCAGTCAGGGAATTTGATAGAGAGTAGCACATGCACATTGGCAGAGTTAGTTGAGAAGAAAATCAGAATAAATAGGCGTGTCCAGGAGATCAAAAGTATCCGGAAATT